TGTTTGCCTGTCTATGGTGAGGAAAAACTTGGGTTCTTGAACATGTATGTTTATCAATAAAAGTCCTAACTTGAAACATTTCGCAATCTTTTATCCTCTTTACAATCATACGCCATGTACAGTTTTTGTCAATCATACACCTTGTTTCGAAACGATCGTTGCTTGATTTGTTAACTTTTAGTTGATAGCTATCTTCGACATATTTCGTATACAAAGCTATCTTCAAGTCTTCCTTTGTATCAAAACAATCATCTTTCGTGATACGAATAATTTTTGTGTAACAATCAACTGCTATTTTTACCAACTCTTCTTCCGGTATCTGAAGTAATTCTGGCATATTCCAGTTATACTCCTGTGGCATTTTCTTCGGGGACTTTTCTTCGGGGATTTCTTCTTCTTCTTTTTCTTCTTCAGGGTTATATGAATTACAGAATGGATGTTCAATATGTTCATTCACAATCGTAACTTCCTCCTCATTATCATCAATAACATCTTCCTCGGCAGTGGCTGTTTCATCATCAAAATTTGGGTATTGATCAATATCAAAATCATTACACGCAGGGTCTGTTTCTTTTTCTGAAACATCATCAAAATCCGAGTATTGACCAAGATCAAAGTCCGGGTATTGACTAAGATCAAATTTCGAATACCGACTAATACTCACAATTTTTTCTGTTGGCTCATCATCGTCTAACTAGTTAATACGAAAATCGGAATTTGGTGCTGAAAGTTGATTGGGATTTAGATTAGGGAAAGGTTGTGGGTTTTGAGATTGTGTTTGGTATTGGAAATGTGGTGAAACAAAATTTGCTTGGTTATGAAATTGTGGTGAAACCATTAAATTTTGAGGACCATAAAATGGGGTTGAAAAACTTAGTTGATTACTACCCGCTACTGACCCAACTTCACTACTTCTAGGTTCAACAACATACAATGTAACATCTTCTTGCGAAACACTAATGTAAGCAATGAATCGTTCAACATCTTCATTGTCGGTTAACAAATAAACTTTACCTTTTCTCTGATAAGATAGTCTAAATCCACTTAAGGGCTCTAAATTCAATTTATTTGCAACACGTAACATTAGAGTTTTATAAGTTAACTTTTTTAATGACAGTTTTAGTTGAAGATACATGGGTAAAGGCATATATTGTAAAACACCATGAACATTATCCCATGACCCTCCAAAACACAAATCTATCCAAACATGATCAACATTAGATGATTTCATTATTGTAAATTAATTTACTAAACAAACGAGCTGCGAAACTAAAACATGTTGCCGGATGGGGAAGGATGTCGTTGGATATAGGAACAGATGTCGCCGGAGAGAGTGATAGATGGAGATGAAATAAGTTGCGATTTAGGGATTTAGGTTATGAGTTGCTTCTGCTGCGTAGTTATATACCCAAAACATTTGTGTTGCGAAACTAAAACCTGTTGCGAATTTGAATTTCAGTGTTGCGACAGTCAAAATCGCGTTGCGGCAGTCAGAATCGCGTTGCGACAGTCATAATCGCATTGCGATTTACATATTCGCATTGCGATTTACATATTCGCATTGCGATTTACATATTCGCATTGCGATAGTCGGAAAATCGCAACGCGAATTTAGAAAATCACAATGCGATAGTTAGAATCGCGTTGCGAATCTGGAAACTGATTTGCGATACCGGAGATCGCGTTGCGAATTATCGATCACATTGCGATTTAGTTGGTCATTTTGACAAATCCAAAAAAATTGGTTAAAATCGTATATTATAAGGCATTTTTAGTCACCGATGTTATTTTCTCTTAAAAAAATACTTTACAAGGCCGCAACATAAAATTCAGAGTTTTTTTACAGTGTTTTCACATTGCTGTGAGGTCATTTTTGCTTCCAAAAGTGTTTGATAGGCTGGATGATGAATATCTTCTCATCAGATGATTTGGCCAGGCCAAGGTCCAAACCCCAGTCCAGGACCAGGCAAGGAGTCTGTGACATAAATTTTTTTCGGGACCCACAAGTTGTGGGTACCAACCCTTTCGTGAATGAGTGACAGATGAAATGCCTTCACTGAAAATTCCCTGGCGAGTGGCGCGCAATATGTATCTTTTCATGGGCACTCACGCTCTAGGATCCCCTATATTTAGTTTTAATTCAATTTATATACTAACATTTCATGTGATTCTTGTTTCTATTATAGTTAATGCTTTATAAAATATGTTGCTTGTTTTTCACCCTGAAAACCACATTTATGAGTTTGCACTAGCCTAGATCGATTACAAATCATCATTAAATTTCCAGTTTTACATGTTGCACTATGTAATGGTTTATTTCTTCTGGAGTAATAGTTTGGATGTGGTAATTTTTAGACTAGCTATGGTTTCTTATTATTATTTCTTTACGATAAGAAATATACAAGTTAACGATTTTTACTATTATTATTGCAGCAACTAAACTGATTCAAAAGCTAAGGAATTTACAATATTTCATTGATCAAAAAAAGAAATGAGGAACGTTTTTCAAATATATGATATATGACATAAATTCTTAATAGTATATCGACATAAATTACATCCACTTTAGCTTAGGTAAAAGCTTAAACGTAATATGAACTTTAGCTTAGGTAAAAGTTTAAACGTAATATGAATCTAGTTTTTTATACTATATTTTTGTTTGGTATAAATATATTTGGATCAAATCCATATGATATATGGCATAAATTCTTAATACTTCATATGAAACTTATACATAATATTGAGATATAGTAGACTTGACCCAAAATGAGATAAAATAAAGAAAGAGCACTTAAATTTCAACAAGATTGAACGTAATTCTATTCATAAAACAATAGTGGTTATAATTTATTATTAAGTTCAAGAATTCATAAATAGTTACGTCTAATTTCTTTGTAGATGGAACGTAATTCTATTCATAAAACAATAGTGGGAGTCGCTGCTTCAACATTGGCTTTTGGGGCTTTTTGGATTCACATAATAAAATCTATAAAGCAAATAACTCATGAACGTCATTTGAATCGAGATTATGAAAGAGAAAACTACATCAATAATATTTTATACAGAGGTGACCAGAATTGTATCGACATAATACGGATGCAATCAATAGCATTTTTTAATATGTGTGACATCCTTACTAGGAACAATTTTTTGTGGTCGATAAGATCAGTGAATGTTAAAGAGCAAGTTATCATATTTTTACATATAATTGGTCATAATGTAAGATTTCGAGTGATTGGATAAAGATATTATAGATCAATTGAAACAATTCACCGTTACTTTAGGATTGTGTTGAGAGCTATTTTGAAATTATATCAATTAGCCATTAGATTACCCGATGAGTCAACTCCTCTTGAGATAAGAAACAATTCAAGGTTTTACCCATATTTTAAAGATTGCATGGGAGCATTAGATGGAACTCATATTCATGCATCTGTTCCACCTAACATTCAATGAAGATTTCGTAGCCGTAAAGGGGGAACGACACAGACTGTATTGGCTGCCATTACTTTTGATTTGAAATTTACTTATGTTCTAGCTGGTTGAGAAGGTAGTGTGCATGATTCTTGTGTTTTAAATAATGCACTTACACGCCGAAGAGGATTTAGTATTTCATAAGGTAATACTTAACTTTAATAATAAAAAATAATTAAATTAAATTCATAATATATTAAGTAATAATAATTTAAAAGATATACGAAATGATTATTTCTCCATATCATGGTGTTAATATCAAAAAGAGTTCAACAATGGTGTTAATGCATTTTTAATTCATCATTGCAAACCATTGTTGAGCGAGTATTTAGAATTTTAAAGAAACTTTTTCGTGTGTTGGATGTTGAACCATTTTGAGATTTTCAAACACAAAGTAGATGTAGTGTTAGCTTGTACTATCATCCATAATCATATAATAGGAGGTGATCCTAATGATTTAATTAATGATAAAAATATTTAAATTTGATTACTAAAATACAAATATAAATATATTTTAAAATGTTATTTTGAACCATGTACGTCCAAATCCAGGTAAATTACTGACGACAAACTTAGTCATCCACTTATTTATATTTCCGTTTTGATGATCCAACTAAAATTATATCGAACATTACATTTTGATCACTTGTCGTTAAAAAATAAACATAACTGTTGATCTTGCAAATCTTTTTTAATAATAATGTAATATTACTTTACGAAGACACATAAATATTACTGTTAATTTTTTAACGACTGATGACCAAAATATAACGTTAGATACAATTAAAAAAAATGAGTTATCTTAACAAAACTGCGGGAATAAGATGACTAAATACGTAATTTAGCCAAAAAGAAAAGGGCAGCCCAAAAAGTTGAAGGTTGTTGAAAGACTTGAAAAACAAAGCCTGTAAAAAGATCAGATGCTAGTTGTTAAAATATCACATGTGGGGAAACTGAGTTCAGCAGAGCTGAGGTTTCAACTCGTGCCAACTTGTAATGAATAAAGATGGATATTTTCATACACAAGCAAGCCCCACCCATTGGTCAAACATATTGTTCCTTGTCGGAATGAAATGGATGCTTTTAAGTAGTGGTTGACCCCACCAGGGAACATGGTGGTCAAGGTTTGGTGGTCAACTTTTAAACGGTAAAGCCTAAATGCTTGCTGTCATGCACCAGCAACATAAAGCAAGTTCACACACATGAAGACCCCACCCCCATTAACAAACTATAAAACTAGCCTAGGTGCTCATCTCAAGGTTTTTAAACATTTGATATGCATAACATGGATGAAAAAGAAACGTTAACATAAGATTAATTTATTATTATTAATAATAAAATAATAGTATAGGTCATTCAATTTTCAAAAACGGTGTAACGGTCAACGCTTCATTCAAAGAAGATGGTAGTTCAGATGTTTCATTATCATGAGCATGAAATAATACATGAACATGATCTTTCTGCTGTACTTTGCATTCAGCATCAATGAACATATAAGAAACAGTAACATTAAAAACTAGACATTTACTGTTAAACTCAAGCTAATCAGTAGCAGTACCCTTTATACTGCTACATTATATTCAATAATCATTAGTTAGTAAGATTATGAAATGGTTAATTAAACTGGTTTACCATCTACCTTGAAGCAAACAAGGAAAGTAACCTAAAAATCAAACCTCCATTAGCTCTATCCCTAACTGGAAAACCGAGCTCCAACTCCATAGTTGGATTCTGCTTTGAGAGTATAAGGATTCATGCAGGTCTGCTGAAAGTTGGAACCTGTGAATGATTATGCTCTATTTACAGATTAATAGAGGCATATAAACAAAAGTCCAAAAAATGACTTCTACCTTGTAACCTCTCTGATGGATTAGTCAACTGGTCTGCACTAGCTACCGATATGAACAACTGCCTGTCACTCAATCAGGCTTCCATTCTCCAAACCATGCTGTCAGCATTGCCATCTTGTGCTTTTTGTAGGGCAGCTACTTTTGCACGGTGTGCTGCTAATGCATTTGTACTTTTTCCTCTTTCATCCTGGGGGAGTTCGCTGGTTTCACTGATGGATCTGGATCTCAAATCACCTGGAGGGATAAAACAATCAATAGAAAGACCTGGTATGTTAAAGGCAACCTCTTCAATTGTCCATGCTTCTTCCATCTTTGTTTTTGTGTGGCTCATTGCAACTTCTCCAAACCTGAAAAGTGTAACAACAGAACGCCCAGAATGTGCTATCATGATACCGTCAACGGGACGGTAATCTTCAAGAAACGAATTTATTGTTGTTTCCCAGTAAACAGCATCACCACCATTGGATTGGACGCGAGTCAGATGTGAATCTTCCATTTGAATAAGGAGTCCAGTCTTCTGATTAAAGTAGCCAAATAAAACATGCCTGATGATCTCTGCAGGGCCCTCACTTCTTGCCTTCAGTGTCTGTGGATCAGTACAAAGCTTGAGAATGAAGCAATCCTCACCATTGATCCTTTTTTCTCCTATGCATCGTGCATCAGCAAACATACTAGCCGTAGTTCTAGGATCAAGACCCTGAAGAAAGAACAACAAAACCCAAAGAAAATATCAGAGAAAATAATAATACTAGTATAACGTGAGAACCAATATTAAACAGTTGAGTAAGAAGATGGAATCTCACCTGCAGTGCACGACGCAAGGGTCTAACAGGCCCCTTTGCAGTGTGCGCACCAAGCCAGGGTGTGTGCCTCCACACAAGTTTCCCATTACAGCCAGCATGAACCTTGCTGCCCCCAACCGCAAGTTCAACATACCACATGTTCGGGTTCATTTGCCAGAGTACAAACCCACCAGACTCTGCACCTCTGGAGACATTTCGGTTCTTAACTGTCCTCGTTGCAGTTTCATATTCACAAGCTACCATTTTGAGCTTTCCCATTGCATACTTATTCCGAATGGAGTTTTGCAGCTTCTGCCCGCCAGAAGCTGCTTTATATTGCTGCAATATGTACTGAGCAGAGGAAGTTTCCTGCACAATTCCAAATTTAACACTATGCCTTACTAAATCTCTGAATTTTAGCATTAGAGATCCTAATAAACTTCACCAACATGTAGTTTAGTGTGTCCGTATTTCCACAAACAGAATCCAAACAGCCATTAACACCCAATTTCTACTCAGCAGTTCTAGTTATACATTTTTGTCTTATAAGTAGTAAATAATCTATTTGGAGCCAAGAAAATTATACTATATTTCTCCGTGGAATTTTCCTTCAGTTTCTTGTTAAGCAAACAGTGAGTCACCGGAGATTTATTTATACGGGTATGTATCATATCACCAGTGGAAGAAGCTTAAAGCAAAATACAAATAAAAATCCTATTGCTATATATTCATTAACGTCATCAAATCTAAAGCAAATCACAGAATTAGTCCAGAATCTAAATCAACGAAACTCGTAAGAAACACTCTACACAACTCCTTCTGCCACACGGAAACAACAATAACATATAAAAACAAGAAACCTAGTAGAATATACTATTATGGGTAATTTAAAATCCAACCAAACTTTCACTTTCTGCTAAAAAAAGAAAACTCGTAAGTTGTTTTGATTTCCATTTTCTGAGGAAATGAAGCAATGCTATAAGCTAAAAATGAAGCAGGGGGAGAGGGAAAAAAGGGGACTAACAATGGGCGTGTCTTTGATGCTCAAAAGCGGCAAAGGATCAGTGGAGCTAACATGAACGGGGGCCAAAGGAGCACCCAAGACACCAAGCAACAGCCTTAGATCGGACCTCCTACAACTCATCGAAGCAACCGATGGAGTCCTCGATAACTGGCCTTTAACCCAATGTCCTAGCCCCGACCCGACCCGTTTCGAATCCCCGACTTCCCCTCCATCCGGATCCGGACCTTCCTTGAGCGGCGCTAACGCTTCCCCGACTGGCCTGAAACTCCCGGATCTCACGATCAAGGACTCCGGTTGCGCCACGTAAGCGACTCCGTGGTTGTTTTTGTTTCTCCGAAACAGAGTGGCCATGGGTGAACGGGCTCTGGCAGGGCTTTTGGACCTGGAGCGCGAAGGGGAAAGCCCGCGAACTACTTCTTCTTTGAGAGCAGAGAAGAAGCCTTGCTTTTTCTCCATTGGCGATGAGATTTTTCACCAAAGAGAGAGGTTGTTTGGTTGAAGAAAGAAGGGGATTGAAAAAAAAAGCGTTTACAGTAGGGAAAGAGAGGAGTGAACTTCCTTCATGGAGCGAGACAGTGAAAGCGCGGAGCTATGGAGCAAAATAAACGGGCTCTCTTCGACACTTAATGGTTTCTGTTTATACACATGTAATTTACAAACCCACCCCAAGCCTCCATAGAGAAGGTGAAGAGTGTTCGATTTGTTTAGGTTAAACTTCACGTGTGACCACTAAATTATTGCCTATTTTGATTTTGACCATCAATGTTTCAATTTGATCAATCAGACACCAAATTATTTAAATGTTTCAATCAAACCACTAATTGTTAAGTTTTAACGAGGTTAATAAAATATTTTAATTCATTTAAATATTTTTAACCCTCCAATCCGAAGGTGTCATGTGTCAATGGTTTATTATGACATATTTTTAAGTGACACGTGATACTATATGATTTGAGGTTAATTTAATTAATTTTAATATTTTAATTAAATAAATATTTTCACCAATTAGATGGTGACATGTGACACCACATGTGTAAAGGGAAAACAATTAGAATAAATTAATTGTTGTTTAGGGATTCAAACCAGGGGCTAAGAGGGTCTTTAGTAGGGGTGCTTATCGAGCGAGTCGATCTTGAGTTGGGTAGTGCTCGACTCATTGCTCATTAAGCCCTTTAAAATTTTACTCGACTCGTGCTCGTTAAAATTTTGTTGCTCGAGTTGTGCTCGTTAAGCTTGTTAAAATTTTACTTGACTTATGCTCATTAAAAAAATTTGTTGCTCGACTCGTGCTCGTTAAGTTCGTTACTCGTTAAGCCCGTTCTTAGCTCGTTGCTCATTAAGTTCACTGAAAATTTTATCTTATTTTTTAAAATATAGGTAAAATATATTAATATTATAAATTAATAGATTAATTATTTATTATGTTTTTATTATCTATTAGTAAATTAATAATTTTCGAATGAAATAATTTTTTTAAAGTAACTACTAAAAAAATATAAAAAATTAACGAGCTGCTGTAAACTTATCGAGTCGAATTAGACTTTTCTAAATTCAGTTCGTTAAGATCTCGAGTCGAGCTTTGACCGAGTCAAGCTTTGACCGAGTCGAGTTCGAGTAACTCAACTCATTAAGCACCCCTAGTTCTTGGGCTCACCTTTGCCACTAGGCCAAGTAATCCATTTGAATTCAATTTGCACAATTTTTTATATATTGTATTTGAGATTATTTCGCACGTGATATATATATTAAATTATTGAAATAAATAAAAAGTTATATTTCATATATATTTAAATTATAATAATGCAAGATTTAAAAATAAAAAAGTTTAATATTTTTATTTCTTAATTAAATTTTTTTATTTTTTGATTTAGATTCTCTAAATAATTTTTAATATAATTTATATATTATTATTTAAAAAAATTTTAAAAATAATTTAAATAAAAACATTAAATTCGTTTTTATTTTTAAATCTTACATTAACTATAATTGTTTTTTGAAATAAAGATATCATTAAATCAAATGCCAATAGCATTGGTGAAAACATTTTGTTTGATACAATCCAGTTTATCATAATAAAACTAATAAGGACTATTCCTCGACAAAGCCCAATTGGCTAGAGTGTGGGCAGTTTGGTTAGCCTCGTGATTGACATACTGAATCTTTTAAAGACGGCAAATTTCCCAGAACCTCTCGGGCTCTATTGAGCCATAGTCCTATTATAGAGATGTCGTTATTCGGATTTACAAGACAATTAATGATGGAACGTGCGTCGCCTTGATGATTGCTCAATCCCACCCATTTTCAATATTAAAATTCAAACCCTCAATGAAGGCCACTGCCTTAGTTGATTCAGCAGTGTGCACACCGATCAACTTACGAGCAACTCCTCCCATCACCAGGCCGTGATGGTCTCGGGTAACCAGGCCGATAGCAACTTCTTTAGAATGGGGGGGGGGGGGAGAAAGCGCCATCCACATTAATTTTAATCATTCAAGTCGCCGGTTTTACCCATTTATTCCTTGGCTTTTGGGTGGGAGTTCAATTGCGGAGGAATGGTGAAACTCCCTGTACTCACCACCAAGTAAACATGCTACCTGAACGACATCCCTAGCCGGTTTCCATTACTTGTCATGGATCCATCTATTTCTCCTATTCCAAATATTCCAAAGGAGGAGGAAAGAAACAAGAGTGTCATTATCAAGGGAGGATGCGATATTTTTGAACCAAACCTTGCAGGAGGGACATCAAAATCAATGAAATTCTGTTTCAAACCCGAAAACAACACCACCTCATTTGAAAAAGGGCAGTCTTTGAGTGCATGAATAGTAGTTTTACATTCTTGATTGTATAAGGAGCAAGTTCCATTCCCAATTCCTATAGCCGCGAGCTTGTGGCCCGAGGGAATGGCATCATGACACGCCCTCCAACCAAAGAACTTAACCTTTGGAAGGGTACGGAGCTTAGAGAGAACTCTCCATATAGGTGATTGATATAACAACCAGTTATAGCCCGACTTGGTGGAGTAAACCCACCTATTGTGATGTTCCCAAATGAATTGCTCTTCACCTTGGGGAAAGATGAGACTGTTCAGAATTTCAGAAGAATCTGGTTCGTGAAAAACCCTCTTAACTTTAGTGAGAATTTCAAAGGAGACTACTCACCATCTAAAGGTGTCATGTGTCAACATATTATATGTGTATGTGTAATAATCTCAAACACAATATATTAAAAATTGTGCAACTTGAAATCAAATGGATTGTTTGGCTTATTGGCAAAAGGGTCATTGGTTTGCAACAATTAATTTATTATAATTATTTTCCTTTACACATGTGGTGACATGTATACCTGATTGGTGAAAATATTTTTAATTAAAATATTAAAATTAATTAAATTAATCCTCTAATCATATAGTAACATGTGTCACTTAGAAATATGTCACAATAATCCGTTGACACGCGACACCTCCAGATGGAGGGTTAAATTTATTTAATTGAATTAAAATAGTGACTAAATTGATATAATGTGTAAATATTAAAGAGCGAATATATAATTATGCCAATTTTATTAACTGACATGTCACAACCTCCGTTAAAATTAACGGTCAATGGCTTGATTGAAGCATTTAAATAGTTAGGTGATCTAATTGATCAAATCGAAACGTCAGTGGTCAAAATGAAAATAGGCAATAGTTTAGTGGTTACCTGTGGAGTTTACAGGTTAACTACATGATTGATCATTATATTTGTGTTTTGTCTATTTTTCTCATTGTTTTCAAAAAACATAATATATAGTTGTTTTCATTTTTATTTAATTAAGATATGATTACCACAAGTTTACTACCTTTAAATATTTTAATATAATAACACATTTGGTCATTGTTATTTACATATTCTATCAACTTAGTCATACTTTTAATAAATTAAAATAAATTTAATCCTTTTAATAAATTAAAATAAATTTAATCCTTTAATCGAATGATGTCACGTGTCACTGGTACCACGTTTCATGTCACATGTCATTATTCGATTGGAGAACTAACTTTATTTTAATTTAATATATTTATTTTTAAATTAAAATAAAGTTAGTTCTCTAACTGAATGATGACATGTGGCACGACACGTGCACCAGTGACATATGACATTATTCGATTGAATTATTAAATTTATTTTAATTTATTAAAAGTATGAGTAAGTTGAGAGAATATATAAATAACAGAGAACAAATGTATGATTATACAAAAATACCATATCACATAATATGTTAATTGTTATATTCTGGCTTGATTCTTCTCTGTTCTCATGTTTGATTTTGCTCTCAAGCGGGCTTAAGTAGTATTTATGCTACTTGTGTGATAAGGGTGATAGTTTGAAGCAGTTCTTATATCGAGTAACAGTTATTGTATTTGAGACTTGATTTGGGAACTTTTTTTTCATTTAGAATTAGGGAGATTTTTTAATGAGATCCTCGTCTTAGTTGTGTTTTATATATGATATTGATCATTAATATACAAAACTCCTCTCATTCAAAAAAAAACTCATGGTGACCACATCTTAATTAAATAAAAAATAAAGTGACTTTATTCTAGTTAAATAAAAACAAGAGTGACAATATATTATGTTTTTTTAAATCGATGACGAAAAATGGACAAAACACAAATATAAGTGGCCGATCATATACCTTCCATTAATTATCTTTAAGCTTAATGCAAAAATAAATATCGAATGTTAATTTTTAGTTCTTAAAGAATTTTTCATCAAAAATAAGAGTTTAATATTTTTCAACTTTACATTTTTAAGTTCTTAAAATATAATGATAATTAAAGTTATATTTTTTTTACAAAAAAAAAGTATTAAAAAAATCTAAATTTCCCAACCCTGCGCACCGCACCCCTTATGCACACCCAATCTCCCCTGCATAATCTAACGGCAAAATCTTGTGTGAAACCCAAATTTAAATCCACTAAGCCGCAGCGCACCTCGCCCTCCTAATTACCTTTCAAAAATCTTAATGATAAATTCGGATTATAAGAGTTAAATCTCAAGTAAATCCTATACTCATTAAATTAATGGTTAAGTATTTAGGGGTTTGAGGCAAAAGCAAGGGCAATGACATATCAATGGGTGCGCTGGGATGATTAGGGGTGAGCAAAATTCTACCCGACTCGAAAAATCGAATTTTTTTACTCAAAAAAACTCGACTCGACTCGAAAAAATTTCAAGTTCAAATCGAATTGTAAAATGCAACTCGAATAACTCGAATAACTCAAAATTTTTAGTAATTAGTGGATTTATTTTCAAGTTTGAGTCGAGTCCTTGGACTTTGTATGATATATGTATATTACATATGAAAAAAATATAAAGAAATATATTTGTATTGTATATATGGTTATAGAAAGCCACTTAAATTAGAATCAAATGATATTATACTATTATAAATATTTACAATTAAATTTAAAAAAACTCGAAAAATCATATCGACTCCAATTTTATAAACTCGACTCGACTCGAAAAAATTTTAAGTCAACTCCGAGTTGTAAAAGAGGTTACTCATCAACTCGAATAACTCAAAATTTGTTACTCTGCTCGACTCGTTCAAAC